AATAATAATAATAATAATAATGATAATAATGATAAAGAAAAAGAAGGTAGGGAGAGGTAGGAATGATCGTCAATGACCACGACCTGTCTCCCGGCCACTAACGTAACGCTCACGCAGGTTCAACACAATCTCCCAGGGCTCCATATTATCCCCGCCCTAAAAAGAGAATAATACCTCCTTTGTCTGCGATAAGATTCCCTCTCTGATATATCCTCACTCGCCTTCCCTGCTTCTCCTTACACTTACCTGTGATGGGTTTCTAGAGTGGTTGCCTGCTCAGCCACACGCTTGCTGGCCATCGATCACTTTATAAAAGTAGTGGGGAATATACAGCTTTAATGACCCTTTGAGCAGTCGATAAGATTAAACCCAATTAACTAACCAAGCAACCGTTAAGGTGGGAAATGCATTTACGGTTACGGTACACTGAAGTCTGTATGCACGATGCCTCATGCCCCAGGACTCCCTCCTTGCTCTGCATACCGTCACTATGCACGATGCCTCATGCCCCAGGACCCCCTCCTTGCTCTGCATACCGTCACTATGCACGATGCCTCATGCCCCAGGACTCCCTCCTTGCTCTGCATACCGTCACTATGCACGATGCCCCAGGACTCCCTCCTTGCTCTGCATACCGTCACTATGCACGATGTCTCATGCCCCAGGACCCCCTCCTTCCCCTGCCTGCATACCATCCCTATGCACGATGCCTCATGCCCCAGGACCCGCTCCTTGCCCTGCCTGCATACCGTCACTATGCACGATGCCTCATGCCCCAGGACTCCCTCCTTGCTCTGCATACCGTCACTATGCACGATGCCTCATGCCCCAGGACTCCCTCCTTGCTCTGCATACCGTCACTATGCACGATGCCCCAGGACTCCCTCCTTGCTCTGCATACCGTCACTATGCACGATGTCTCATGCCCCAGGACCCCCTCCTTCCCCTGCCTGCATACCATCCCTATGCACGATGCCTCATGCCCCAGGACCCGCTCCTTGCCCTGCCTGCATACCGTCACTATGCACGATGTCTCATGCCCCAGAACCCCCTCCTCCCCCTGCATACCGCCACTATGCACGATGCCTCATGCCCCAGGACTCCCTCCTTGCCCTGCCTGCATACCGTCACTATGCACGATGCCTCATGCCCCAGGATCCCCTCCTTGCCCTGCCTGCATACCGTCACTATGCACGATGTCTCATGCCCCAGGACCCCCTCCTTCCCCTGCATACCGTCACTATGCCTCATGCCCCTAGACCCCCTCCTTGCCCTGCCTGCATGCCGTTACTCGAAGACATACCAAGTCGTATCTGTGGACCATAATAATCGCAAGGTTTCTCCTCTGAATGCATCTTTGAATGGGACAATTATGTTAATGTCTTAATGGGACCATTGTGTGAATGTATTAATGGGACCATTGTGTGAATGTATTAATGGGACCATTGTGTGTATGTCTTAATGGGACCATTGTGTGAATATCTTAATGGGATAATTATGTTAATGTCTTAATGCGACCACTGTGTATGTCTTAATGGGACCACTGTGTATGTCTTAATGCGACCACTGTGTATGTCTTAATGGGACCATTGTGTATGTCTTAATGCGACCACTGTGTATGTCTTAATGGGACCATTGTGAATATCTTAATGGGATAATTATGTTAATGTCTTAATGCGACCACTGTGTATGTCTTAATGGGACCACTGTGTATGTCTTAATGCGACCACTGTGTATGTCTTAATGGGACCACTGTGTATGTCTTAATGCGACCACTGTGTATGTCTTAATGGGACCACTGTGTATGTCTTAATGCGACCACTGTGTATGTCTTAATGGGACCACTGTGTATGTCTTAATGCGACCACTGTGTATGTCTTAATGGGACCATTGTGTGAATATCTTAATGGGATAATTATGTTAATGTCTTAATGGTACCATTGTGTGAATGTGTCTAAACGAGATCACTGTGTGAGTGCATGTCTAAGCGAGACCACTGTGAGTGCATGTCTAAACGAGATCACTGTGTGAGTGCATGTCTAAACGAGATCACTGTGTGAGTTCATGTCTAAACGAGATCACTGTGTGAGTGCATGTCTAAACGAGATCACGTGTAAGTTCATGTCTAAACGAGATCACTGCGTGAGTGCATGTCTAAACGAGATCACTGTGTAAGTTCATGTCTAAACGAGATCACTGTGTGAGTGCATGTCTAAACGAGATCACTGTGTAAGTTCATGTCTAAACGAGATCACTGCGTGAGTGCATGTCTAAACGAGACCACTGTGTGAGTGCATGTCTAAACGAGACCACTGTGTGAGTGCATGTCTAAACGAGACCACTGTGTGAGTGCATGTCTAAACGAGACCATAATGATGTTTGCTTAATTTTGACAGTTATCTTGTTTAATATACAAGGTTACAGTTAATTTGTCTGGCAAACTGGGACTATTACAAGCTTGCCAAATGGTTTAGTTTATCAAGTGAGTCCATTAGGGACCCCAATGCAAATAAGTCACTCTATTTTTTTTATGCTAACCTACGTGTTCACACATGTTACTATGTACGATAACTGCAATTATGCAAAAATTGTGTAAACTTCTACCTAAATACACTTACTCCCCTTGTTTACTGATTCTTCTTGCTAACGCTCCTTACTCTCTTTGTTTACTTTCCTTGCTTATTCTCCTCACGCTCCTTGCTTACTCTCATTACTCCCCGTGTTTACTTACTCTCCTTGCTTTTCAAATGAGGCAATGGTTTTTATGTTTATTATCATGGTTTCTTTGTTAGCTTGTATAATAACTTGTTAGATATATATATAAAGGATTTTTTCTATCCTCACCGTAATACGCCGGCTGGGCGATGTGTTGTAGAAGTCTGTTAACGTCTCAAGAATCACGAGAGTTCTTAAGAGGTGTTTTTCCGTATGTTCAAAACAACTACGGAATGTGACTTTGTGAATTCAACTTTAAACTCTCCAGCGATGGTGGTACGAGTTTTTCTGCAGGGCCAACACCAGACCCTGGCATCACTGCAGGTCCAGTAGCAGACCCTGGCATCACTGCAGGTCCAATAGCAGACCCTGGCATCACTGCAGGTCCAATAGCAGACCCTGGCATCACTGCAGGTCCAATAGCAGACCCTGGCATCACTGCAGGGCCAACAGCAGACCCTGGCATCACTGCAGGGCCAACAGCAGACCCTGGCATCACTGCAGGTCCAACAGCAGACCCTGGCATCACTGCAGGTCCAGCAGTAGACCCTGGCATCACTGCAGGTCCAACAGCAGACCCTGGCATCACTGCAGATTCAGCAGTAGAACCTGACATTACAGCATACTATTACCTACAGCCTGACTTACCAGGTCAAGATGACCTGTGACCTACCTGTAATCTGTTTCATAGGTACGTCTACCCTCTCAGCCAGACCTTGTGCTAGCGGTCCGCAGAATCACACAGCCATCACAACGCCGCTGATCAAGAATCTGAAGGGAGATATTGGTCCAATTTCCTCTTGGAAGTGGGCAAATGTCTCATTCCGGCAGTATTTCTGGGTTCAGCTGTTAAACCTACTGGAGATTCTTGGACCAGTGTTTCATAGTTATAGCAACCCTGCTTCACACAGGATTAATTCCAAACTCTCGTATTTTTCACTCCTTCAAGCATCTTCCTTGTATATATCATCAGGGTTCAGACGAGCCTGGCCCAAGGCCGGACTCTGCGAGTAAAAAAAAAAAAAAACTCGAAACTCGTCAAAACTCTTTTTTCCGTTCCAGATATTTTGTATCGTTTTACTGGGATATTCACTTGAGAAGGATCCCCAGACGCTTGTGACCACAGGCAAGGGTATAGCGGGTACATTCGCTTTCGTCTCTCTTGTCGGAGTTCGTTGGTTCGAACCTACAGCGTTGGCTCCGTTCCAGATAGAACAATCTAAGTGGTTTGAGGCATCGCCAATACTTTAGATATTTTACCGATTCTATGCAGGCAGTCTGACCTCTGTACACTTTCCAGCTCTGCTATCTCTCCTACCAAGATGCTGTGACCTCAAAACAATATTCAAGTCGTGAGAGCACAAGTGATTTTATGTGTTACCATTAGAGCTCCTTCTCTTTTCCTGTCATTTTCCTGGCCTAGTCTGAGACTTGGCTTCAGGGGCGATGATCGGCGGAACCGTCTACTGGTATACGAAGTGCAGGTCCAGAAGGACTTGGCATCTCTGCTAAGGCACGGGTGAGTCTTCCTGCTGGTGAGTGAACTGGAATGCTGCCCCGGTGGTTTTTGTCGTGTACTAGACCAGGAGGCCCTGCCACGGACCCTGGGCGCCGCGGTATGGCCATACAACCCTGACAGTGGCCCTGCTAATAGATGCTGGGCAAGGAGGCCCTCCTAGGAGCTCTAGGCGCTGACAATAGCTCAACCACCGGTTCTGGAAATCAAGGTATGGCCAGGATCCTTGTAACAGTCTTGTCATGGAGCCGAAGTCTGAATGTACCACCCTGATTACTCAGCTACGGGCCCTGGATCCTGACACTGGACCTGCTAGTATGTACTAGAATGGGAGGCAGTGTCTCACACTCTATCACTACTGGTTAACACATGCAATGGGTCTCACACTCACCCAGTACACAGGTGTACTGGTGTATATATATTACTTTACCTCTAACTTTAAACAGTCACTTTCTAAGCAAGAAAAGTAAATAAAAATTAAAGATAGTGAAACGTGGTGCATCAATAACAACAATAATAATAATAATAATAATAATAATAATAATAATAATTTATAAGGTTTGATTTTTTATTATTGCTGAAAAATTACTTATATACTGTAGTTAGTATTATTGTGTAAAGTTTCTGTACAGCAACATAGATATTACCCAAGAATATTTTTATTATATCCAGCGAAAAAAAAAAATTATGCGAGAATGATGCATCACAATACAGAGTCTCGTCATTTCCGCTAAACTGCTGTTATTTGCTGAACAAAAGCAATACTCACCTCGAGGTGAACCTGAGGCAGCTGCTTCTGCGGGAGTGCTGGAGGCTGCTCACCCCGGGAGGAGGAGGCGGCGTCGGAGGCCAGGGAGGAACGCTGGGAGCCTCCCCTGGACAGGTCGTCAGTGCCAGTCTCACTGCCGGAGTCACGACCACTCATTGAGCGGCGTCGAGCAGGTCGATGCGTCTGCTCGTCCGTCTCGCTCTCAGGCACTCGACCTAGACGCGCCAGCCCCTTTCCCGCTCTCCCAGATTTATCAGTCCTCATGCACTGGTTCATGGTGGAATGACACGCACTCGCCCACTTGCCCTGCGAAGTCTCTGGCGCTGACTGTGACGATATAAGACTCGACTGACTACTCGCAGAGCTCAGATCACTTACTGAAGCACAACCCAGGTTCTTCCCTGTGTGGCGTTCATAAAAGGACATCACAGCTTGTTTCTGAATACTCTTCAGCGTAGTGTCTGGCACCTTGCGTCTTTTCTCAGGGTCTAAATAGGAATATGATACATTACTACCCATTCTCTCAGAACGATCCAATCTGTCTACTCTATCCACCTCTGTAAAAGTATTCAGTAAATTCTGGAAATTTTCATGGACGAAAGGTCTACCTTCGGCATCCTTTTGCGTGGGTGACTTCGAAGACCCGGGTGTGGAGGGGGATCTAAGAGTCTCCAGTGAAGAGTGAGAGCCGTCTCCCTTGCGGTCTATCCTTGAGAAATCTAACCGCAGATCTCTGTCTCCTCTCTGAGAGTCTCTGGATCCTCTCCTCTGGTGGGTCCGAGTCTCGCCACTTTCTCGAAGTTCCCTTGAAGCTCGAGTCTCCAGTTTGTCACCTGGCTCACGAGCCTCTGGCGGCGGCGCATCCTCACGAGACCTGCGAAGGTCTTGTGGGTCTCGTGGGTCATGGGTTTCCCTAGACTCCCTCGGGTCTCGAGGGTCACGGACATCCCTAGACTCCCTCGGGTCTCGCGGATCGTGACCTTCCCTACCATCCCTCTCCCTGGAGCCACTATGGTCCCTGGGCCAGCGGGTGCCGCCCTCAGGGCCGGTAGTACGGGACTGTCTCTCCAACTCGTGAATCCTCTCAGCTACTGAGGGAGGCTTGCTAAAGTCTATGGTAGGACTCTGGGGAGAGCGTGTGGGAGACGTGGGAGTCTCGCGCATTTCTGCTGTAGGTGCCTCCGTGATCTGCGAGAGAGGTTGTGTGTAGGAATACGAAGGGAACTTCTTTAGATTGTTCATTTCGTTGTTCCTTTCAACTTCTCGACTCCATTTTCCTTCCCGTGATGATCTCGGGTAGCCAGACTCTGTGTCGCGGACAGAGCGCCGCAAGTCCCGGTGATCGCGCGACTCGTGGCCCAGTCTGCCGTGGGGAGGTTTGCCTCTATTCTCACCGCCATAGTAAAGAACAGACTCGCTATTGTGGCGCTGGGGCGCCTGCACACGCGAGCTGTGCACTATATTGTGGTCAGATCGCGGATCGCGGGAATGACCAGACATCATAGAAAGATCAGAGAGCGAGCCGTGCCACTTGAGGGTTTCAGAAGATGAGGCTGATGAGGAGTTTGTGACGACAGTAGTGACACTATCTCGTCCGTTACTGTAGCGAGCACTGTCTGCAACACTCTCACTCTCCCCTCTTCCTGAGTCCCTCTCAGAACTACCATCCCACATGACTGACTCGCGCCGCAGCTGGTCCAACAGCGGCGTCGTACCTATTAAGTCTGCGTAACCAAACTCCTCGTACTGACGGACGTATTCATCCAGCTGCGCCGCTGTCACCTGACTGAGAGTAGCCTCGCCCACGCCCAGGTCTCGCTCAGGCGGGGACGGGATGCTGTAGTCCTTATCATCGAGGGCGCGGCCGTCGCGGTCATATGAAGGATAGCACGAGTTCGAGGGCTTGTAATAAGAGTCCATAAAAGAATAATTTGAGCTAGAGAACACATCCACTCGAATACTGTTATGAAACACTTCCATGGGAATCTTCTCTGATCGCTCCATCACAGTTTTGAGTTGCCTCTGGAAGGACTGATTTGATGGTTTCTTGTTATAAGGACGAGCGTAGCCTCCAGCCTTCTCCTTGGGGTATTCTGACTGCTCCGTCCACGACTTCGAGCGGTGTGAGCCTTGTGGTGCCGGAGACTGTGAGGTTGAATCAGGGAGGCCAGATACATTAGCATCGTGAGGTGGGGAGCTATGTGACACCTGGTTACCAGCTGGCACCGGCCACGATGGATATTTCTCATGCCCGGGACCATACTTGATATATTTTAGACTAGAAGCATCACGCACTGGGGGTGGCGGAGGTGAGGACGGGTGACGGTTTGACGAAGATGATGTAGGCGAGTGTTTGACAGGTGATGGCGTAGGTGCTACTGACGGAGGCGATGTCGGGGATATGGGTGGCTGCTGGTGCTGGTAGCCCGGACCTGGGGGAGAGTATGGCGGGGGTGCCATAGTCAGGTCTGGTTCAGACATGTTCCAAGACCCGGGGTACTTCTGACTTGATGACTCAGGTCCCAGGTTGTCGTAGGAGAAGAACCTGGCTCGATCCATGCCATGATGGTGGTGACTGTGGCCAGACAGGTGCTCCCCCCGGGGACTCAATTCATCAGGCTCGCTGTAGTTTGAGGTGTTGGAGTGCTGTCTGCTGTGGTAGGAGCCAGCTGAGCCAGAGCTGAGAGCAGAGAGCTGGCGGGAGTGAAGTAGGTGGTAGGAAGAGGAGCGAAGGTGGTGGGCATAATCCTCGCGGTCTGGGGTATCGTCGGTGCCCATAGTGCCATCCCAGTATCGGCCGCCCACCACACCAGAGCCGCCCATGGCGCTCTTGGCCGAGGAAGAGGAGGCACCTTGAAGGTAAGAGTACATAGAGGACTTCTTGGTCACCATCCTGTCATCCTCGCCCTCCTCTAGGTTGGGCGTCGACCTGCAATACAAAAAATAATGATGTTAATGGCACACTGCTGGAGAGGGAGTCACTGTCACGCCCTCAGTCTTGCTGTCGACAACTGGAATTACCCTCCCATTCATATCATACTGATAGCATGCAATACCGACAAGATGAACAATATATTTATGCAGCACTTGCACATCTTTATTACTGAAATGCTGTTGCTTGTACAACAGCATTCTTCAAATCGAATACTGTAGAATATAATACTGTAGACAGTATTAATTGAAAGGTAATTTCGAGGCGATTAGTCCTTCGGCCTTGATAGAAGGTTATCAATATTTAAGATACCTAAGTCTGAGCCTTGATAGAAAGCGGTCAGTAATAAATATATCAGTGTTGTACACGTGTCTTATTCATAAAGCCCCCTAACAGAGAGCGGCAGGCAGCCTACAAAGACGCTGGCTGAACTACAAGTCTCCCTCCCTCGACCGATTCGACCAGTCAAAAGACCTTCTGGCTATTATTGAGAAGCAAGAAAATGTGATATTTGTTCTGCGGACCAAACTTGTTTACCTCCTGTTTCCTAGAGGCCGTACCATGCCTCCAGGTTAAGCGTTCCCGTGTGAATACGTCACTAAGAAGTGTTAATTACGCTTTAATACTGGAACCAACATTATTATTAATAATGTATGAACAGGGCAAGGAAGGTAGCTGACCTCGGTACACAGTCACAACATCTAGCCTGTTGTTACACTCTACATAACAAGCGTATTGTTTCTAACGATTAAAGTGGCTGTATACCCCGCTGTCAGACGTTAACTCCCGGGGATCGTCTACAATCTACATCAAAGAGAGCTGCATGTCTCTCACGGTTACTGTACTGACTATTTTAGGCTTTAACGTAGTCTTGATTCATAGCTCCAATTTATCCAAAGACCGTTGCTAATGACTGCTTGTAATCTGAGAATCTGAAGCAGAATGGAGAGAGAGAGATAGAGCTTCTTATTCAGTAATCTAGATCTTATGAAGATCAACATACTATTGTATATGCTCCGCAGGAGAGTATTATTAACCCGGTTAAACCACATAATTATACTGCAGGAGTCATTGTAAACCAGTTTCATACCTCAGCTGCCTTTGTACGCTGCTGGAGTATAAACTGTATTATTAAAGGAACGTGCACCACCACCTCCTCCAGGTGCCGCCAGCATCAACAGCCTGGCTGACCAAACAACAGGGAAGCCTGACTGGGCTGCTACAGTAGAACCACCATCAAAACTGTTCACAGGTACATCACAAGGAACAGTAGAGCCTGGCCCAGGGCCGGGCTACGCGAGGTAGAAAAACTCGAAACCTATCAAAGGTATATTAAAGGAATTGAGCCAGACCTTGACGGAGTGAATAATAAGAGGAGATATGATCACTACATAAAAAATCCTAAGACAAAATGACACAAATAAGCACACACACATAAACATACGCGTGCGAGCGCGCACACACGCACACACAGCTAATGTAGTCCCCATATTTAAGGAAACAGAAACGAGGCACTAAACTACAGACCTGTGTCTCTGACATGTATTGTGTGCAAAGTCATGGAGAAGATTATCAGGAGGAGAGTGGTCGAACACCTGGAAAGGAACAAGATTATAAATGAAAACCAGCATGGGTTCATGGAAGGCAAATCTTGTATCACAAACCTCCTGGAGTTTTATGACAAGGTAACAGAAGTAAGACACGAGAGAGAGGGGTGGGTAGATTGCGTTTTCCTAGACTGCAGGAAGGCCTTTGACACAGTTCCCCACAAGAGATTAGTGCAGAAGCTGGAGGATCAGGCGCACGTAAAAGGGAGGGCACTGCAATGGATAAGGGAATACCTGACAGGGAGGCAGCAACGAGTCATGGTACGTGAAGAGGTATCACAGTGGGCGCCTGTTACGAGCGGGGTCCCACAGGGGTCAGTTCTAGGACCAGTGCCATTTTTGATATATGTGAACGACATGATGGAAGGAATAGACTGAAGTGTCCCTGTTCGCAGATGACGTGAAGTTGATGAGGAGAATTAAATCGGACGAGGATGAGGCAGGACTGCAAAGAGACCTGGACAGGCTGGACATGTGGTCCAGCAACTGGCTTCTCGAATTCAATCCAGCCAAATGCAAAGTCATGAAGATTGGGGAGGGGCAAAGAAGACCGCAGACAGAGTATAGGCTAGGTGGACAAAGACTACAGACCTCACTCAGGGAGAAAGACCTTGGGGTGACCATAACACCGAGCACATCACCGGAGGCACACATCAACCAAATAACCGCTGCAGCATACGGGCGCCTGGCAAACCTGAGAATAGCGTTCCGATACCTTAATACGGAATCGTTCAAGACACTGTACACTGTGTATGTTAGGCCCATACTGGAGTATGCAGCACCAGTCTGGAACCCACACCTGGTCAAGCACGTCAAGAAGTTAGAGAAAGTACAAAGGTTTGCAACAAGGCTAGTCCCAGAGCTCAAGGGAATGTCGTACGAGGAAAGGTTAAGGGAAATCGGACTGACGACACTGGAGGACAGAAGGGTCAGGGGAGACATGATAACGACATACAAGATATTGCGGGGAATAGACAAGGTGGACAGAGATAGGATGTTCCAGAGAGGGGACACAGGGACAAGGGGTCACAACTGGAAGCTGAAGACTCAGACGAGTCACAGGGACGTTAGGAAGTATTTCTTCAGTCATAGAGTTGTCAGCAAGTGGAATAGCCTAGCAAGTGAAGTAGTGGAGGCAGGAACCATACATAGTTTTGAGAAGAGGTATGACAAAGCTCAGGAAGCAGAGAGAGAGAGGATCCAGTAGCGATCAGTGAAGAGGCGGGGCCAGGAGCTGAGTCTCGACCCCTGCAACCACAATTAGGTGAGTACAATTAGGTGAGTACAATTAGGTGAGTACACAGGCTCGGACTCGACCCCCGCAACCTCAACTAGGTGAGTACAACTAGGTGAGTACAGAGCACGTCTCCGGAAGCACACATCAACCAGATAACTGCTGCAGCATATGGGCGCCTGGAAACCTGAGAATAGCGTTCCGATACCTTAGTAAGGAATCGTTCAAGACACTGTACACCGTGTACGCCAGGCCCATATTGGAATATGCAGCACCAGTTTGGAACCCACACTTGATCAAACACGTCAAGAAATTAGAGAAAATGCAAAGGTTTGCGACAAGGTTAGTTCCAGAGCTAAGGGGAATGTCCTACGAAGAAAGGTTAAGGGAAATCGGCCTGACGACACTGGAGGACAGGAGGGTTAGGGGAGACATGATAACGACATACAAAATACTGCGTGGAATACACAAAGTGGACAGAGACAGGATGTTCCAGAGAGGGGACACAGAACTAAGGGGTCACAATTGGAAGTTGAAGACCCAGATGAGTCAAAGGGATGTTAGGAAGTATTTCTTCAGTCATAGAGTAGTCAGGAAGTGGAATAGCCTAGCAAGTGAGGTAGTGGAGGCAGGAACCATACACAGCTTTAAGATGAGGTATGATAAAGCTCATGGAGCAGGGAGAGAGAGAGAGAGGACCTAGTAGCACTCAATGAAGAGGCGGGGCCAGGAGCGGAGTCTCGACCGCTGCAACCACAATTAGGCGAGTACCCACACACAAGAAGTATTTCTTCAGTCACAGAGTTGTCAGGAAGTGGAATAGTCTGGGAAATGGAGTGGAGGTAGGATCCATACATAGCTTTAAGAAGAGGTATGATAAAGCTCATGGAGCGGGAAGAGTGACCCAGGGCAACCACAACTAGGTAAGTACACTCACACAAACACACGGGTGCGCACACACACAAACACAAGCGTGCGCACACACACAAACACAAGCGTGCGCGCGCACACAAACACAAGCGTGCGCGCGCACACACACAAACACGCGTGTGCACACAAACACGCGTGCGCACACAAACACGCGTGCACACTCACAAATACACGAGTGCGCACACACACACATAAACACACGCGTGTGCACACACACAAACACACGCGTGTGCACACACACACATTTCTCCAAGCTTCTTGATCCGAGGAACTGGACCTAACCTCTCCTTCGTCAGGCTAATCGTGATTACCTGCGTGACCTGAAGGAGACCCGAAGGATGTTTTCGGGAGTCAGCGTCCCCGCGGCCCGGTCCCAGACCAGGCCTCCTCCTGGATCAAAGCCTGAACAACTAGACTATTACTGCTGGTCACAAGCAAGCCTTCATATGAACCACAGCCCAGTAAACAGAGGTTGACTTGAGGAACTTACCAATTCCTACGGGTCTGGCGTTTCCCCATGAATATAATAATAATAATAATAATAATAATAATAATAATAATAATAATAATAATAATCCATATTTAATACTAATAATAATAATTTGGATAACAGTGAAGCTGTGGCCTCTTCATTTATATGAAGCATAACTTAGATAAGGGGCATAAAGTTAGGCGCGTAGTATGCAATTACTAGAGAGATGTTAGCCATCAGTACGAGAGTCGTGAGGCCAAGAACAATGACCTCATGATAATTTGAATATCTTAACCTCTCCTACAATCACAGAGACCGGGCTACTTTAACCTCTCTACCAATGATACAAGCTGGTTACCTCACCCTTTCCACCAATCACACACAGCTTCAAGAAGCTCCACCAATCACGAACACTAGTTACCTCACCCTCTCCACCAATCACACACAGCTTCAAGAAATTGTCCAGCTTCTTAAGGAAAAGCATAACATAGCCGACAAAAATTCGTAGCTACTGTTACCAAGAAAGAAATAAAAGAGAATAAGTTACAAAACAAACTTTTATTGTGACAACGTTTCGCTGTGTAGAACTTTACAAAAGCTAAACATCGAGTAAAAGGCAGTCCCAATTAAAATTTGTTGCAAATTGTATTTTCGTGGCTGTGGTCCACCGAGATTCGTATCCAACCCACTACCCGCTTGTGTGAGGTGATGTTCTCCGAGGGTTGTATTGTAGAGGTGCGCCCTGCTTACACAGCAGGTTAGGTTCCAGGCTACTGCTGTAAAGCGAAACATAAGTGCATATAAAAGCCTGATAACACGCATGTCTACACAATCATATATTAAGTGAGCTATAGCGCTAGGTCTAAAAAATGCATATACAGTACACGTATTTCCTTAAAATATTTCGTCCTTAACTTTAGTCGGAAGTCTCAATAAATGACGAATGTGTATAATTAAAAATGTTGTATTAGTGAAACGCCATAAAGTGAAGTGCTGTAAAGCAGGGGCCCACCTGTAATGTATTACAGTAGACGAAGCGCTAAACCCATGTGGGTCATTTACCTCAAGAAGTGGTTAAATGATCCAAATGAGTCATTCACCACTTGTAGGTCAGGTTAGGTAAGGCTTGTCAGTAAACAGGAATAAGTGTTTCCTGACGCGGGTCTTAGTCATATGATGACCCACAGCTGGAGCTTTTGGTTATCTGACAGAGACCATTCACTGACTTACCCCTCCACCCCTTTAAAAAATATAATGGTTCGCCATTTCTGTCAGCCAATCATTGCCCTATATCTGATCAGTCAGTGTATTCGAGAAATATTTTTCCTCTGAGCAGTGTGAAGAACGAGAGAGAGAGAATCATCATTAATATAATTAGGTGTTACACATTGCCTTCGTCGAGAGAGAGAAAATCATCAATATTGTTAGTTTTTACAGTTATCTTTGTTGAGAAAGAGAGAGATACAAAGTCACCAATACTGCTAGGTTTTACACGTTATCTTCGTTGAGAGAGAGAGAGAGAGAGAGAGAGAGAGAGAGAGAGAGAGAGAGAATATTACCTTGATGCGTGTAGCGCAGGATTCACACTATAGTGCTTAGCGGAGGTATGTACATTATGATGCAGGGAGGGTGTGCTCTTGGCCAGCACCAGCGACGCCGTTGACCCACCACCGGGGTTGACAAGCGACTCTGCGAAGGACGACAGACTCTCCGCTGACGGGTACCTGGGCAGTGGCGACGACCTGCCCGCGGAGTTCCTCAGGAAGTTGGCCTCCTCTGGTGCCTGTGACCCGCTCACCAGCGGCGCGGGGGAGGAGCTACGGCACTCCGAGTCAGCGGCGGCAGTGACTTCCCCTGAGGTCTCCCAAGTGGCAGTGGTGCCACTGCTTCCCTGAGGTTGCCAGGAACACCGTCGCCCGAGGCTTTTCTCACCACTGTGGAAGAGAAAATTAACTGTCAGAATACACACCAAGTAACATTTATTATTATTATTTTTATTATTATTATACGACATTATCATCATTGTCGTTATTATTACGGTTTTAGTATTATTATTATTATACGGTAGTATTATTATTGCTATTAATATAATTACGGCATTATTATACGTAATTATCATTATTATTACTCTTATTATTATTAGTAGTAGTAGTTATCATAGTTAAGGTGACCACATGTTCTTCATATTTCACCTTCACTGCCTCAGAAGAAGGTGTCTTGATGCCGGTGAAAAGTTTTTGATCAAAGAAGCTAGAGCTACTCGTTTCTTCCTTGGATCAAACTTGATTACATTCCATTCTTTACGCGTTTTATAATTTTTCCTGCGAGTTAGGCACCTCGCCATTACACCAATAGTAATAGTAATAATAATGATAAACAATAATAATACTAATTATAATAAATGTATGGGAGAGGGTAAGGTACCTAGGGATTGGCAGAGAGCATGCATAGTTCCTCTGTATAAAGGCAAAGGGGATAAAAGAGAGTGTAAAAATTATAGGGGAATAAGTCTATTGAGTATACCTGGTAAAGTTATTACTGAAAGAATTAAGAATAAGAGGGACAGTAGAATAACAGATGAACAAGGAGGCTTTAGGAAGAGTAGGGAGTGTGTAGACCAAGTGTTTACAGTGACACAAAGGTGAACAGTATTTAGGTAAGGGTAAAGAGGTTTTTGTGGCATTTATGGATTTGGAAAAGGCGTATGACAGGGTGGACAGGGGGAGGCGTAATGTGGCAGATGTTGTAAATGTATAGAATACGAGGTAGGTTATTGAAAGCAGTGAAGAGTTTTTACAAGGATAGTGAGGATCAGGTTAGAGCAGTGATTCTCAACCAGGGGTAAACTTACCCCTTGGGGGTAAAAAATTACATGGCAAGGGGTAAATATTTGTGTACTATTTTTGTGCAAAACCTGAATAATTTACCTTTTTTCTGGTCTTGTTTTTCTGTCCTTTTATGATGGCGATACATTTTTTATATGGAAGTTTGGGTGTAAATGGAGAAATACATCAAGCCGAGGAGGATAATGGAGGAAACGTCGAGAATTCCTGGGTTAGAATATGTAGGAGAGAGATTATTTCCCAGTAAAAGTAGGCCTTAGACAAGGATGTGTGATGTCACTAAGGTTGTTCAGTATATTTATGGATGGGGTTGTAAGAGAAGTGAATGCTTGGGTGTTGGCAAGAGGTGTGGAGTTAAAAGATAAAGAATCTAACACAAAATGGGAGTTGTCACAGTTGCTCTCTACTGATGACACTGTGCTTTTGGAAGATTCTGAAGAAGTTGCAGAGGTTGGTGGATGAGTTTGATAGGGTATGTAAACTAAGAAAATTAAAAGTAATGAGGATAAAAAAATAGGTAACGAAAGATTGGATATCAGATTGGAGGGAGACAGTATATTTAGGAGTGGACGTGTCAGCACATGGGTCTATGAATGATGAAGTGAATCATAGAATTGACGAGGGGGAAAAGGTGAGTGGTGCACTGAGGAGTCAGTGGAAACAAAGAACTTTGTCCATGGAAGCAAAGAGGGGAATGTATGAGAGTATAGTTATACCACCGCTCTTAGAATATGGGTGTGAAACATGGGTGGTGAATGTTGCAACAAGGCTGGATGCAGTGGAGATGTCGTGTCTGAGGGCAATGTGTGGTGTGAATATAATGTCCAGAGGACTGAGGAGGGGTTGTTGAGGTGGTTCGGACATGTAGAGAGGCTGGAATAAAATAGAATGACTTCGAGAGTGCATAAATCTGCTGTGGAGGGAAGGCGGGGTACAGGTCGGCCTAGGAAAGGTTGGAGGGAGGGGGTAAAGGAGGTTTTGTGTGCGAGGGGCTTGGACTTCCAGGAAGCATGCGTGAATGGAGACAAATAGTTTTTAGGACTTGACGTGCTGTTGGAGTGTGAGCAGGGTAATATTAATGAAGGGATTCAGGGAAACCCGTAGGCCAGACTTGAGTCCTGGAGATGGGAATTACAGTGCCTGCACTCTGAAGGAGGGGTGTTAATGTTGCAGTTTTATAACTGTAGTGTAAGTGCGCCGATGTGTTAATAAAAAAAATAAACAATAAACACACCACAGGCATCTCAACACAGTACATACACCCCAAATACACTCCTTCCAAAAACACCAGTGACCGCAAACATTCCACATGCACCACACACTAACACTGGGAGGGAGGGGAAACGGAGAGGAGGATGGGAGAGAGAAAGAGGGAGGAGGAGTGAGAGACAGTAGAATCTGAAAATTAAGGGAGCAAAAGTAGATGGCAATCAGACCAACACATAAGACCTGGCCTCTCTATACCTGTAACCTGTCTGAGGGTTCATCGACTTGTGCACTCAGCCTAAGGTCAGACTTCCTCTGCTGACTACTTGGTCAACCAGGTTGATGCTGGTAGGTAAGACACATAGGCAACAGTTAGGCAACTTTATTCCGAAACGTTTCGCCTACACAGTAGGCTTCTTCAGTCGAATATAGAAAGTAGGCAGGAACAGTAGAGATGTGAAGACGATGTAATCAGTCCATCACCCTTGAAGTTGTAGAATTTTGAGGTTGTCAGTCCCTCGGCCTGGAGAAGTTCAGTTCCATAGTCAGGAGATAGTTCCTGACTATGGAACTGAACTTCTCCAGGCCGAGGGACTGACAACCTCAAAATTCTACAACTTCAAGGGTGATGGACTGATTACATCTTCACATCTCTACTGTTCCTGCCTACTTTCTGTATTCGACTGAAGAAGCCTACTGTGTAGGCGAAACGTTTCGGAATAAAGTTGCCTAACTGTTGCCTATGTGTCTTACCTACCAACCTGTCGGTATTGTATACCATTTTGATGTTCAGGTTGATGCTGCTAGCGGTTCGCATACCCACAAAACTATCACAGCCTGGCTGATCTAACAATCTTAGTTCCCCGCCTTTCTTTAATGACACTATCCCTGGCTTGGCTAAGCTACGCAGTTCTACCTGAAGACAGCAAGGGGTTTGCTGCAATTACAAAGTCGCCCCTAGATGTCTACCAGGTTTATTCCGTAACACCTGCCAGGTTTCCTTTGTAACACCTGCCAGGTTTCTTTCGTAACACCTGCTAGGTTTCTTTCGTCACATCTGCCAGGTTTCTTTCGTCACATCTGCCAGGTTTCTTCTGTACCAACTGTCAGGTTTCTTTCGTAACACCTGCTAGGTTTCTTCCATAAGGGGGAAAGAGAGGTAAGGAGGGAAGGGAAGGGTAGGGAAAGAAGGGAAAGGAAGGGAAGGGAAGGAGTGGTAGGAGAGAAGAAATATTTTCTAATTTATCCAACTGGTATTCATCAGCAGTGTGCTACTATCCTATTCTACACGACTGTTACACAGTGAGAAGAAAAGCTATGTCTCCCTGTCATATTCCATCTTACAGGATGGATCTCATCCAAGGTGTTGAAATGTGTCAGAGCTGGGAGACTACAGTAGGCAATGAGGACATCGTCAAGTACTCCATGAAAGGTTCTGCAGGTACATCTTTCAATGTTTCGTTCTAACAGAGCTGTAGTTACTTTTACTTGGGAATTACCATCTCTGAAGATATTCTAAGAAGCGGTGATAATGGTAGTGAGGAACGAGGGCTGTTGTGAAGGATGGCGCTGCCTGTGTCGTGGGAAGGTGGGGGAGGCGCCAAGATGGATGTGATCCAAGTAGCATTCTCTTGGGCAGGAAATAGTGGTGGAGGAAGATGGGGTTGTTTATGGTTGATAAGTAGCTTGTTGTGGTAGTTAGCTTCCCACTTCCGCAGAGCCCAGACACTAGTGGTGGTGGTCTGGGACCCACGTGAAGCAAACTTCTCGCTTGCTAGTGAAGAACATTCAAGACAAGTTTCCCTCACTATCTGATATCATGTTATGTTGTAGAAGCAGCCAGTATTGTGTCGTGGTGATGATAGCTGTGGTGTTGATGGTGGTGGCGAGTGTCAATACTCTATGTATACTTGTCTAATTGTGGTTGCAGGGGGTAGATTCATAGCTCTTGGCCCCGCCTCTTCACTGGTCGCTACTAGATGTGTGTGTGTGTGTGTGTGTGTGTGTGTGTGTGTGTGTGTGTGTGTGTGTGTGTGTGTGTGTGTGTGTGTGTGTTGTGTGCGAGTTTGTGCGAGTTTGTGTTTTTGTTGTTCTAAGTAATGGTGCTGATGGTGAAAGTAGTGGTGCCCAAATTGTTCGTGGTGGAAGTGGTGGTTGAGCTTGTTGGTGGTAATAGTGGTGTTGAAATTGTTTAGAAATAAATCATATTACTACAATGGGGGCGTTGACCCCTGGAACCTCCAGGTTGGTACCCTACTACTACCACCTCAACTACTCCCTTGTTACACCAACCCTTACCGTATTGTAGTCTGGCCTTTTTCTACTCTTCACGCCCCGGTTGTGGAGTGACAATGGTCAAGGACTGACCGGAACATTGTTATAAGTGCTGGTTTTGGATGAACTAAAATTGTTTATGTTAGTGGAAGGTGTGGTAGTGGAACATGTGTGGTGGTGTAATGTAGTGGTTATGGTTTGTACTACAATGTGTCAACCTGAGCTGGAAGACTTCAGTAAGATAATGCGGATATCGTCAAGTATTCCATTAAAGATTCATCAACTACGGCAGCTTCAAAGGTTTCGTTCCAGCAGAGCTGGAGTTACTATTACTTAGGAATTACCATCTCTCATGATTGCCTCTCACATACACGGAAGACATCTCCATCACCACACAGCGCAGAAACATTATGTATGGAAAAAAGAAAAAGAGGAGGACCTGGACGGTATTATATTACTAAGAATACACCTACAGAGACCATGCTAACTTATCTTTGCACTAACATGGCGAGTAGGAGAAGGCACAGACAGGAAGGATTGAGAGAAGACTTGAGAAGAGTTTCCGGCCTCAGGGAAGGGAGAGGGAGGATGAGAGGGAGAGGGAGGATGGG